TTTGAACCTGGGCGGTGAAGGTTGCAGTGAGCCAAGATCATGCCACTGCACTCCAGCCTGGGTGACAGAGTGAGACTTCATCTCAAGAAAAAAAAAAAAGAGTATCACTAGTAATAGACTACTGGATTTATAGGTTGTTTTATTAGAATATTTGGTACTATACCAAGGAAGGCTCTGCTAAGGTTGTCAGAGTTGCTTTCTGGAGGAGGGGGGATATGCATTTTTTTTTTTTGGTTTTGTTTTTCATTCAAGTAGGATCATATTCTTCATACTGTCTGGTGCTTGCTTTTTTAACTGATGAGCTATCTTCCTTTTTCTTTCTATTGCATAATCATGTTAAAGCTGCAAAGTTTAACACTATAAAAGCAGCAACATTTATTTAACCAGCATCCTATCACTAGATATTATACAGTTTACTTCCTTTGCTGTTACAAACAATGGTGCAATCCAATTGTATATGTATTGTAGAATAGATTCTAAGAGGTAAAATTGCTGGATGAAAGGTAAGGGAACTTTTAATTCAGAGCTTTTTGAGGGGGGACAGAGTCTCACTCTGCCGCCCAGGCTGGAGTGTAGTGGCATGATCTCAGCTCACCATAACCTGTGCCTCCTGGGTTCAAGCAATTCTCCTGCCTCAGCCTCCCAAGTAGCTGTGACTACAGGTGCATGCCACCACGCCTGGCTATCTTTTTGTATTTTAGAAGAGAAAGCATTTCTCAATGTTGGCCAGACTGGTCTTGAACTCCTGGCCCTCCCTGCCTTGGCCTCCCAAAGTGCTGGGATTACAGGTGTGAGACACTGCACCTTACAGATTCGGAGTTTTTTATTGTTGGAAGAGAACTGTTTCACATTTTCAAATAAGGAATCAAATTTAAAAACAAAACAAAACAAGCAGTATATTAATTTCAGAAAAAATAATAGTCATCCACATTTCAAAAAATCCAGAAATATTCATTTAGGGATAACAGAAAAAACAATTCCAGAACTCCATGCAATATTACTAGATCCAAATAGGAGATAAAAAAAGGGCCGGGTGTGGTGGCTCAAGCCTGTAATCCCAGCATTTTGGGAGGCTGAGGCGGGAAGATCACAAGGTCAGGAGAGCGAGATCATCGTGGCTAACATGGTGATATCCCGTCTCTACTAAAAATACAAAAAATTAGCCGGGTGTGGTGGCAGGTGCCGGTAATCCCAGCTACTCAGGAGGCTGAGGCAGGAGAATCACTTGAACCCGGGAGGCAGAGGTTGCAGTGAGCCAAGATTGTGCCACTGCACTCCAGCCTGGGTGAAAGAGCGAGACTCCGTCTCAAAAAAAAAAAAAAAAAAAAAAAAAGAGATAAAGAAGGTTATCTATTTGATCTTTAATTAAAAATTTTTTGGGTTTTAAATTAAAATCCACAAAAAAAAAAAAAAAAAAAAAAAAAGAGATAAAGAAGGTTATCTATTTGATCTTTAATTAATAGATCTTTTGGCTTGATAATTAAATCCATCAGAGAAAAAAAAAAGCAAACTACTTACCGCTGCACAAATTGCGTGTTTCAGGAGTCGAAATATCATTTTGTTTGTATGAGATAACCAAGCCCTCTGTATTATTTGAGCTGAAATGTCTTTAAGCATTCTGAGAGAAAAAAAGAGGTTAATATTTATAAAGTAGTTTTCATTTTCCTAAAACCTTAGAGAACTATCAATTTATGCTTCCTCCTCCTGTACCTCCCCATCCTCCACTCTAAGACTGACCTAATGAGGAACATTTGGATGTGGTAATTGGAAGTGGTCATTTGCAGAACCTACTCAGAATGAGGATATGAAATACTTGAGGAGATTTCCCCTGAGATTTAAAAAAAAAAAGTCCTGACTAAAACTTTATCATCAAAAGACATATAAAATATAAATGTATCATTAAGAGGCATATATATTATAAATAAAAAGTGTGAGGAGACAAGCTCACTTCCCAAAAACATTCACGACCTGAAATGAAACGTACAACTAGTTCAAGTGCTATGAAAATGGAATGGGGAATAGTCAAAGTTACAGGAGGCCCAGTTCTCTTCTGGGGATGGACGACTACGCCCTAGAAAAAGAAACTTCCTTCTCTGATCTTTGCTTGAACCAGGCTCATCCAGGTCAAGTCAGAATTATTCTACTTTTGGTCATATCCCAGCACTGGCAGGTTGTAGGGGTCTCCTCCTTCATACCTTCTCACTCCGTCATTACCCCTTGCAGTGCTATGTACAAAGACAGGTACTCCTGCATAATGCTACCCATTGGCTGGCAAAATGCAAGCTACAAGATATAAAGAAGAAAAGGCTAGGCCAGGTGCAGTGGCTCACGTCTGTAATCTCAGCACTTTGGGAGGCCGAGGCGGGAGGGATCACCTGAGGCCAGGAGATCGAGACCAGCCTGGCCAACATGGTGAAACCCCGTCTCTACTAAAAATATAAAAATTGACATGCATGGTGGTGCACGCCTGTAATCTCAGCTACTCGGGAGGCTGAGGCAGGAGAATTGCTTGAATCCGACAGATGGAGGTTGCAGCGAGCCGAGATCGCACCACTGCACTCCAGCCTGGGCGACACAGCGAGACTCCATCTCAAAAAAAAGGAAAAAGCCTGAAGTATGGAGACAAACCTTTGAATCCTATCTGATGCCATTTATTAGCTGTTAACTTTCTTCAAGCCACTTACCTTCTCCCGGTTGCTACTACTTCTTTTATAAAATATAAAAATTGTTTCACAAGGTTGTATCAGGATCGAGTAGATGTGTGTTAATATGCTTTGTAAATTAGAAAATGCAATTATAATTATTCAATTTGAAAGTAATTTTAAAACACAAAATCTCTGATTTACAAAACAAGAAGCATTTGAAATTATCTGGATAAGTACTGTTTGGAAACTGTACAGTTGTGGAAAATAAAACAAGGCAAAATACGGGTACTTACGATAGTAATGATCTTGAATTTGGTGCATTTGCGAAACGTACTCTGCGAACTTTTCCTAAGGATTTTGTACCTGATTTCAGAATACCTTTACCTGGTACATCTGAGGAACGGTTCATTTTCCCTCCAATGAAGTAATCTGAAAGTACATAAATTAAGCCTTTGAGGTCATAATTTATACTATTACACTGTTTGGACAAGACTCAAGTGCCTTATGATTGTTGTACTAATTCTGAATCCTTTAAAAAAGAAGGCATTGTGGATCTCTTAAAGTTGCTTACAGTTTACATTGTGTACTAAAAATATTATATGGTATATGGAAAAGACAAATAAATCTATCCACAGCCTTATAACTGGTCTGTCTCCAGTCTTTTTGTCCTCTTATTCATCTTCCACGCTACACCCGGAGTTAACTTTTTAACTCAATAATTCAATCTCATCACTCCCCAGCTGTCTACCAACAAGCTCATTGAGGGCAGGAGGCATCTTGTTGACTATGGAGTCCTCAGTGCCTAGCACAGCGGAGAGTTTTTACATGTTTGTCTAAAAACGTTTTGTCCTAGTTTTATCATCAAATAGCAGTGAGACTTTGAGCAAGTCACTTAACCTCTCAGTGGTTCAGTTCCCTCCTTGGTAAAATGAGAGGGTATACACTAAATTTCTGATTCCACCTCCAACTTTCTATTCTTTAAAGCATCCAATCTGGATGCAGTAATACTCCAATTTGGATGCAGCTCCCAAATTCTTAGTCACTGCTTGGTCTTTGTTACTAAACCAAGGGCTCGTTATCATTTCTTTTGGTGCCATGGACCCCCTAGGGACAGATCTCTTTAAAACGCATAACATGGGCGCGGTGGCTCACTCCTGTAATCCCAGCACTTTGGGAGGCCGAGACGGGCAGATCACGAGGTCAGGAGATCGAGACCACCCTGGCTAACACGGTGAAACCCCCGTCTCTACTCTACTAAAAATACAAAAACTAGCTGGGCGGGGTGGCGGGCGCCTGTAGTCTCAGCTACATGGGAGGCTGAGGCAGGAGAATGCTGTGAACCCGGGAGGCGGAGCTTGCAGTGAGTGGAGATCGTGCCACTGCACTCCAGCCTGGGCGACAGAGTGAGACTCCGTCTCAAAAAAACAAAAAACAAAAAAAAACGCATAACATACATAGGATTACAAAGTGTTCCAATTATACTGAAATCATTAAAATATTTTTTAAAACAAAATTATAGTAAATGTGTCTTAATGCATTAAATGAGCTCTAATGACTACTGTATTTTTGAAGCAGTAATGAACGTAAATATTTCAAGATCTCTGACATGACTGCAATGTAACATGAAAATATCTGTGCTTTCCATTGATGACAAAGTCATCAATGCTAATACTACTGTGGCTTGTTGTCTACACTATAATTGAAAGAAACAAAGTTCAGTTAGAGGTTAGTGAAAATGAAGTTGTCATTTTTTCCCCCATACAAGTTCGCACACCCCATGAATTAAGACCTTCTGCCCTAATTTATCAATATGTTTCACACTTTTACGTATGTGTGATGTTACACTGCTGATGCAGAGAGCCTTCTGAGTCTATTCAATATTTCTCCTTGGGGATGCCTTGGAATATACAATCCTCTTAAGAAAGAGAAAAGCAGCCCTTAACATCTGGGAGTTGGCTGGCAGTCACAGCTGGGCCTTGGTGTTACCACTGCTTCCTAACAACACCCGATCCAGAGCAAAGCTCCTGCTTCCTTGAACGTACCCCAAAATCACCGAACCAAAGCCCAAATCCTATAATACATCTAACTCTTTTACTGAAATATGCCACTGTGTTCCTACATGTGCGTTCTCCTTGGAGCAATGAGAAACCCATTTTCTTCAACTACAGGTGTGCCCCTAGTGGTCTTTGGCTGGAGGGCAGTGGCACGTCACTGCACAAATTCCAAATTTTTCCAGATGCCCGCCTGGATAGGGCTTACACTTTTTATAGGATTAGGGCAGAAATACAGAATGAAATAGGAAATACATCCTCATTATGAGACAGTGAAACAATTGTTTTGGCTAGAACACAGGTTTCAAAGGCAGACTAATGGGTTTGGATCCTAGCTTCCCACTTTCTGTGTGGTCTCCTACAAATGACTTCTATGTGCCTCAGTTTCTTCATGTATGTATTGGGAATAATAATCATGCCCACCTACTTCCGTCGTTGGAAAGATTAGATAAATGTGAATAAAGAACTTAGATCATGACTGCGCATATCAAAGTGCTGTATCAGTGCTTGTTACTCTTGTTAATAAGATAATTATTGCCATTATCATTTACTTCTACAAGTATTAAGGGACAAACATTTGATTCCCAGAGAGGAGGCTTACCGCTTGTTTCTTAAAGGGAAAAAATAAGGTCAGAGCCTTTTCCGATTAAAGGACACAGCATATTAGTTTAAATTTAAAACCTGAGAAACCTCCAGTCCACGGTTAAAACCTTTCGTAAGATAAATCCAGGCCGCCAACCGGCGGCTTCCGGCTGCGAGGCTTTCGAAGTCGCCCGAGACCCTCCAAGCGCCCCCTCCCGGCAGCCTCTGCTCACAGAAATCCCAGTCCACGCCGCTGGGCGCCCGGTCGCCGCGGCAAAGACAGTTTCCCAGCGCCGCGCGACGCCAGGCACCTCCCTCCTCGCGCCTCCGCGTACCACCCACACAGAACCGGCGCTTTCTTGCCGCCTAGCAACCGCCGGCGCAGGGGCGGAGCCTCTTGGAGGGCGGGGTTTGCGTTCATCCGCCGCCCGGGCGCGACGCGCTGCAGCTCAGCGACGCGGCTTCTAGAACGGGGTGATTGAACTAAGCCTTCGCCGCACCGAGTTTGCAGTACGGCCGTTACCCGCACCGCGGCCCGCTTGCGGTTGGAGAAATCAAGGCCCTACCGGGCCTCCGTAGTCACCTCTCTGTAGTGGGCGTGGCCGAGGCCGGGGTGACCCTGCCGGAGCCACCGCTGCTAGCGACATGTTCAAGGTGAGAGCGTGGAGCCGGGTCACAGCTGTCACCGCCCCCTCCCGGCTGCCCGAGCCCTCCCCGCGCTCTCTTGGGGCCTCTCCGCAGGCCAGGCCCGAGGCTTTTCCCGCCACTGGGCCGGCTGCGTCCCGGCCCCGCGGTTCATTCACTGGTCTACTGTGGATGAGCGGCTGCCGGGCGGAGGCGAGAAACCCCCGGGTGGGTGGGGGCGGCCCTTTGGGTTGTGCTTTCGTGAATTAAACACTTTGAAAATGTAAAGTGCCTTCCCCCAAAGTACCCATCCCTTCGGCTGGTGCCCTCTTGGGATCGTGGGTAGGGGGAGGCCAGCTCAGGGCACTGCGGGGTTCGCGGCTTTAGTTGCCTGGCAGGGTCAGGTTTCAGAACCTGATGTGTGGATGGGGGAGGGTCATTTTAGGAGAAGCTGTGCAGGGTATGGGGGAGGCTGGGGTGGGATGGCTGGGTGACGACGAAAGCTGGAGCTTTGCTCCACTCCCCAGGGAACATTATTTAATACGGACCAGTGGACCCCCTTCCCTGCGTTTTGTGAACTCGTGTCCTTTGGGAAAAAAATAGACTTTTACAATGAAGACTTAATTTCGAAAATCTGCACTGTAGTATAAAGCCATTATTCTACTTTTTAAAAAGTAAATTATATGTATTTTGTCATAAAAAATCACAGGCTACCAGAAATTAATCTACAAAATTGAGTCTTCAAGAAACATAGTACCCATAAAATAGTGCTAATGAAATCTCAGAATTGTAGTATTCATTTAAAAGTTTTGTTGAGCTCTGCAATGTGCTTTGGGTACGTTAATAAAGGCTGTAAAATCAGAACATGCATTCTGCCTTCTAGTCCTGGCATTGCCACTTTCTAGCTGTGTGACCTTGGGCAAGTCACTTACCTTCTCTGTGCCTATCTTCTTTTTTGGTGAAATTGGTGTAATAACATCTACCTCATAGGGTTGTTATAAGGAGTAAGTAAGTTGGTATGTGTAAAGCACTTGGAAAAGGCCTAGTATTTGCTCTTACTCTGTTTTCAGGCGGCTCACAGTTTAGTCAGGAAGACAGATCCTATAATCAACATTCATTTGATAAATTTGTGTATTAAACACCTGTTATGTGCTAGGAGCTCAGCTCCATTTCAGGGTTACAACAAGGAAAGATATGCTGTGGCCAATTTAACTATATGTGTACCAACACTGTAGTAAGGTAGTGAAAAGGAGAGCAGGATCCACTTGGCTTAACCAGGGGTTCCTAACCTGGGGCCCTCAGCTCCTCAAAGGACCTGCACATAAATTTCAGGGGGTCCCTGAACTCTGATGGGGGAAAAAATATAACTATTTTAGCAATCTCCAATTGGAATTGAGCACTTCCTTTAGTTATGGGTAATGTTTCAATAATCTATTGTTGGGTAACAAATCACTGCAAACCAGTGCCTTAAAACAAGAATTGTTTCTCAAAATCTATGGGTTGGCTGGGTAGTTCTGCTGGTGGCTTGACTGAAAGTTGGCCTCACTCGCATGTCTGGGGGCTTGGTGCCCCTCCGTGTGCCTAGCTTGGACTTCCTCACTTGGTTACTGACTTCCAAGAGGGCAAGTCCCAAGGCACAAACACAGCATCATGTTTGCTGATGTCAAAACAGGTCACGCAGCCAAGTCCAGAGTTGATACAGTGGGGAACTACACAAGGTCATAGACATGAGTTGGTGCACTTCACTGGGGCCATTCATTTTACAAGCTCCTACCTTAACAAACCACAGTAGTATTCGCAGTACCTGTTACCAGTGGAAGTTACAGTATCAGCACAAGTCACAGACATTTTCATATCACATTACAGTTGTTGCAGATCTCAAAATATCATTTATGCTCATTACTACTTCAGAACTATGGTAGTTAATAAGACTCACTGCTAGATCTTTTTGTTTAGTGGGCTAGTAAAGAAGCACATACTGTTTATATCAGATATTTATGTTTAAAAAATAAGATTATTTCAATATAGTTGGCACTTTTTTGTATGCAATTAGAGGCATCATTTTGAGAAGGGGTCTATAGGTCTCACCGATGGCCAAAGAGGTCCATGGCACAACAAAAGGTAAAGAACCCCTGGGGACTTCAGAGAAGGCTTCACAGACGGGACACTTAAATTTAGTTTTGAGACAGGTAGGAGTTCTTCAGGTAAATGAGCGGGGGAACATCAGTGGTATTCCATTGGGGGAAGTGCTGGAAACTCAGTTTTGATGTGTCAAGGGAAAGATACAGTGAGCTGAGATGATTATTATTGTTACCATTATTTTTTTCAGACAGAGTCTGGCCCTGTTGCCCGGGCTGGAGTGCAGTGGTGCGATCTCGGCTCACTGCAACCTCCGCCTCCCGGGTTCAAGTGATTCTCCTGTCTCAGCCTCCCCAGTAGCTAGGATTACAGGCGCCTGCCACCACACGCAGCTAATTTTTTTGCATTTTTAGTAAAGATGGGGTTTCACCATGTTGGCCAGGCTGGTCTCGATCGCCAAACTCCTGATCTCGTGATTCGCCCGCCTCAGCCTCCCAAAGTGTTGGGATTACAGGTGTGACCCACCGCGCCTGACTGAACTGAGATTATTTCAGGTGAACGTGCACTTTGGGTAGAAAAGTAGAAAGATCACAACAAACCTTGGAGGACACCAAAATATAAGGAGTAGGCAGAGGAAAGGGGGAGGCCAGACTTGAGAAGTAGCAGTAGGAGCAGAAAAGAGTGATGTTTAGAAAATCGAGAGAGAAAAGTTTCAAGGAGAAATGGCTATATTAGGATACTTTCAGCTGGGAAAACCCAATTGCTTAAATAGTAAGGAAAATTCTCTCACAAAGTCCAGAGGAAGAATGGATTCCAGGCTCTGATTCGGTTGGTCAACAGTGTCATCAAGGACCCATCTCTTCTTGGCTTTCCACAGTCAGGTTGGTTTCCTTTAGGGTTGCAAAATGACTATCAGTAGCATACACACTTTCTCATTCTCTAGAGCAAGAGGAGGAGAGAGAAAAAACTCCCACAATTGGTCCTTCAGTCTGATTGGACCAACTTAGGTCAGTTGTCTGACCCTATAACAGTTGTCAGAGGAATGACATGATCTTATTGGCTTAGACTAAACAGGATCAACCCAGGGTGGTATCACTTAATCACAGGGGAGAGGAATGCATTCATGAACACAATGGAGTTCTTTTAGGAAGGAAGAGGGAGAATAGAGATTGGATATGCAACCAACAATGTCCATGACGGAGATAGAAGCTAGATGAGATATGAGTTAGATATCATGAGGTGTGTTCGTCTGGGCACTTTGGAAAGCTTTCATGATCCTTAAACTTTAGGTTTATTGATTGAAGTGAAGGGTAGATTAACCTGGGTTGGTGACTGAGGACGGAGTAAATGGACACTATGGTGGTTGATAAGCTTGACTGTCAAGGAAAGGAGAGAGAATTTGGTAACTAGAAGGATATGTTCAGTCAAGATTCTAGAGAGAATACCTCAGCTTTGCAAGGAAGAGAGATTCCCACCCGACAGATGGAAGGAAAAGAAAGGTGCGAGGGATTGTAGACCAGTGGTTCTCTATAGAATGGTCCGACTATACAGAATGGTACATTTTGGAAACTTGTGGGATTGTTCTTTTTTTTTTTTTGAGACGGAGTCTCGCTCTGTTGCCTAGGCTGGAGTGCAGTGGTGCGATCTTGGCTCACTGCAACCTCCACATCCCGGGTTCACGCCATTCTCCTGCCTCAGCTTCCCGAGTAGCTGGGACTATAGGCGTCCGCCACCACGCCCGGCTAATTTTTTGTATTTTTAGTAGAGATGGGGTTTCACCGTGTTAGCCAGGATGGTCTCGATCTCCTGACCTCATGATCCGCCCGCCTCAGCCTCCCAAAGTGCTGGGATTACAGGCGTGAGCCACTGTGCCCAGCCCTCTTTTTTTTTTTTTTTAAACTTTACAAAAATTATAGCTGAAAATGGGGTTGTTCTTTATGTCTTTAGTTGTGTTGAACATTTACATACTGAAATATAATTCACATAAATCTTTCCTTTTTATTCACCTTTATGCTACCATCATACTATACTGATTTACATTTTGGACTTATGCATGTAACTTAGTGATGAATTTTATTTCAGGATACCAAAAGAGTGTCACAAAATATTTGTCATAAAATGGTGATGTTAGGTCTAGTAGTTGAGAACCAGTGCTTGTCAAACTTTAACGGGCATGTGACTCTTGTTAAAATGGATTCCAATTCAGTAGGTCTGGGATATGGCCTCAGATTCTCCATTTTTTTTTTTTTCCGAGATGGAATCTCGCTCTATCACCCAGGCGGAAGTGCAGTGGTGCAGTTTCTGCTCACTGCAACCTCTGCCTCCCGGTTCAAGCAATTCTCCTGCCTCAACCTCCTGAGTAGCTGGGATTGACAGGCACACGCCATCATGTCTGGCTAATTTTTTGTATTTTTAGTAGAGACGAGGTTTCACCATGCTGGCCAGGCTGGTCTCAAACTGCTGACCTTGTGATCTGCCTGCCTCGGCCTCCCACCATGCTGGGATTACAGACGTGAGCCACCGCACCAGGCCAGATTCTCCATTTTTTGACTAGCTCCGGGTTCTGTAGTTTTCGTTGGTCCCCTTTGAATAGCAAGAATGGAGGCAAATCAGTAGATGAATGGTTCTTGTGTTTTCAAGATGGATGGTTTTATGAACGTGGTGGGATTTGGGACTGGCACTGACCAAGGAACAAAAAGATAGGCCAGACCCTTTGAGGGCTCTACTGAGAGCGCTCCTCCTGCATGTTTGTGCAGACTGGGGGTGGAGTAAACGGTAGGATTGATCGGGATTTGGGAGTTAACAGCTTGGGTCAACTATAACTGGAGGGCAAAGGAGTTAATA